ATTTATAGTTTAATATACCTCAAAACCTTGATTTTTTTAAAAAATTCATAGTCTAATTAAAAAAAAAAACTATAACTTTTTAAAAATCGTAATTTAATAGTAAAAATCCGTAATTATTAAATTTTTTTTCAAGTACCCTAGCTGCCCCCAAACAACTGTGTTTCTTTTTTCCACCACAATAAAGAAATGAAAAGACAAAAAAAAAAAGAAACATCTCAATTGACGCCAACGGCAATTGGAGGAAGACTTGCGAAGTCTTTCAAGGCGTGTTTCACGTCATTCAGGATTTACATGGGTTTGCAATGATTTGATCGTACCCTAATATGTACTAATCAATGCCTACATGTTTTCACCACGTTCATGACTTGCGGTCTTGAGTTGACTCGTGCGTGTAACACGTTTACTAATTTATTATTGCCGTGAACACGTTAGTTTCTTTTCTTAGTCTTTGTGGAAATTAACTGGAAAAGGGGCTGGATAAACACCTGACCATCCGTGAAATCAGCACCATGAAAACAGCTTGCCGATGTCACCTATTGAACTTATTCCATTCATGTGATACAACAGTGTCGTGAAGTGCAATCTTTCGCTAAATTGATTATCTTTTTTTCCTTTTTTTGGCTGAAATGTCACTTTTTTTCATAGCATCTTGAATTCTATAAAAGCAAGTTGTAGAGTCCATCTTCCTAACAAACAACTGCAGCTCTTTGATAACGATCTTCAACCACATATTAACATGTGTCTCTGCATCAAATGCATATGCTTTAGCCGCCAAGATACAAGCGGGCAAGAGAAGAAGGGACCAGACTGTCTTGATTTGATCCTGGCAATCTTGGTGCCCCCAGTTGGGGTATATAAAAGGGAAGGGGGGGTGCACGGTCAGTCTCTCCCTTGATTCTGTTCTATTTCTTTCAAACTTAAATTTATGTACAAACCAAATTCATCAATCACTTCAATTTAAAATTTTACAAGATATTTATATCCAACAGGGTATGAATTCAGAACCGGGTAACATATAATTTTACTGAAGCAATAGAAATTAATAGAAAATTAATAGAAATTAAGAGCTGACTCCTTTTTTTTTTTTTTCTTTTTGAGATAATTACAGGCCAATTTCTGTGTAAATGTAGCTCTGACGGCATTAGGATATGCGCCAGGAGGCATCCATGCTGCCATTTTCATATCAACGAACTGAACAGCTGGAAAGCAGACATCGTACTTGTAATTTATCACAAATCATTTCAATTGTCAACAAAATATGTACGATTACTTTTAAGAATTGTCATATCAAAGTCCTTCATTCATATCTGTTTTGGCTTGTTGTAGGCTTGATAATGGCATCTCGTTCGTGCTTCTTGATACAAGGAAGGGAAAGCAAGTGAAGAAATTTTATTTTACTTTTGCATGTTATCCGTAGTGTATTTTAATTAATTTTAATTTTATTTATTAATAAAATATCATCATTAGTAAATTAAATATTTAACTACATATATATTAAATTGCTTAAACGTTTGAATACAAAAAAAAAAAAAAAGAGGAGATTGAGAAAGCAAATTATACTCATACCAAAAATTATTATCCAAATTGTTAGCACTTAATTAGCCACAAACTCCACGACTAATAGCACTTCCAATTTGAAGATCGTGAAAAGATTGGGAAATGGAAACTATTGACTGGTAAGGGCTTGAGCAACCCATTGTGTGGTTGGCAGAAGTTGGGGATTGTCATTCAAGCATGCAAATGTTACCTTTGTAATAAAGATTACATCTTTTGCAATTTGGTTTGGAGATACTGGTCCATCGAATCTTTAAGTAAAAGATGTAAGTCATTAGTTAGCATTGTAGGTCATTAGGTAGCAATACCAATGTCGATGCCAAACGTTGATGATGACAAACATAATAAAAAATCATCATGATGTCTTCTCATAAGAACTTTCATTGTTAGAATCCCAAAATTATATAAATCCAATTTCTTATCTATCTTCATTGTATAGGTGAAGGTTACTTAAAGAAATATATCTAATCAATATATTTTATTAAGTAATAAATATATCTAATCAATACATTATTATATAAGAATATTAAAAAAATTATAACATATATGTTAAAATAAAATTGAAAATGTTTAAAAGATTATTTAAAAATTAAAATTTAAAGAGTCAAATAAAATTTTATACTTAATAAATCAATCCGATATATTAAATATTAAAAAATTAAATGTTAAATTTTAAACGTTAATTACACATTTAATACTTAAATTATTATTAAAATTTTAATTTGATACTTAAATTTTAAAAAATTACAATCATAATACTACTTAAATTTTGTTTTAACATAACAATTTACATACAAAATTAATAATTTTAATTTAATGATTATATGATTAAAATATTTTTAAAAAATAGATCAATAAATACTTAGATATTTCTCATTATTTTAGGTATAGGATAAATCTTATTCAAAATTTCAGTACTTAATTGATGCAGTGCATTAAAATTATTTCCCATTATTTTAGGTACAGGGTAAATCTTATCCAGATTTTCCGTACTTGATTGGTGCAGTGCATTAAATTAATATTTGAAAGGGTCTAAAATAATGATTTGTCCTTTTCATCTCACAATCAACGGTATTAGACAAATTGTTATAACAAGTGTCCTATTTTAAGTCGTCGAACTTGAATGACGTGGCTTCATAACATCTAAGTATTTTTCAATTGCCCAAGCAGTCCTCTAAAATGAATTAGTGTCACTGTTTAATGCATTTAAGCGTTTGTTTTTATGTAATTGCACTGTACTTCGTTGTTGGAATCGTGACGGCACGATCTAATTATGCTTGAAAGGAAGACTACAACTTCATTTATAGAAAAGGGCCACCACACTATACTTTTTGAGACTTTTGACATTTTGACATTTTTTTTTATTTTTTAATTAAAAAATTATGAAATAATTTTTTAATTTAGTATAACGAAAATTTTTATTATATAATAAACTTATAAATAAATAAAATTATTATTACCTTATTAAGTAAAAATTATTGTTTTATTATTATATAAAAAATTAATAACTAAATATTATCTTATAAACTAAAAATAGATAACTACATCATTAATAAAAAATTAAAGAAAAAAATCATTTGATATACTATTAATTTTTAGTTTTTAATTATTTATCAATAAAATTATTATTTAATATAAAAATAATTTAATGAATTTTCAATTATTTATTAATTTTATAAATATTAAATAATTTAAAATTTGTATTACATATAAATTTTAATCTAATATACTTAATGGTTATTTCTTTTGTAACTATAATTAAACTAACTTTTATCTTTCATTTGCATCAAAATACATATATTCATAATTAATTTTAATTTTACAGGTATAATATTTAATTTTTTTTTAATTTTATCTAAATTAATCTTATTATCCATTTAAATAGAGTCTAAATAATTTTTATTGTATTAAAAATATCAATCTTATCCAAATTCGATGAAAAATATAATTTTTTATCTGAATAAAAATAAAATAGATATTAAATTTTAGAAATTGAGGCTGAAGTGTGTATGATTTTAAAACTTCACTTACAAAATTTTCTTTAATTTATTTAAGGGTCAATTTGGATTACACTGTAACCTCGTTGCAGTATGAGTAAGTACCTTTTCGCTATAATCCCACTATGATTATCCACTTGAATACCTTTATTATAGTGCAATTCGGTTGGAGGAATAATCTCCAGTGGTGAAAAAGGATGCAGTGACTCACCGCAATCCATGTTGGACATTTTTGTCATGATAACATTCTTTTAATTTCATTTTACCTTTTTTTTAAAAATTTATTAAGATTAAAATAATTATAATAAATTTAAAAATAATGTTTTATTTCTATTCACATTATTATTTTTTATTATATCTTTAAATAATTAATTTTAAATATTTTAAATATTAAATAAAATTAAAATATGTATTAAACTAATGTTTAATTTGTTAATAGATTAATGTCTAAAATAATCATTTTTTTTTATTTTCACATCATTATTATCATTGCTTTTGCATTCAAATACATATTCAATTATTGATTTTAATCTCACAGTTGCATATCCAATTTTATCGTTATAGTAATTAATTTCATCGTCACCATTACTTTTAATCTTATGAGTGCTAATTTCACTATCTGTCCAAATGAATCGTAAGTGTTTTATGTTACACCATAATATTAATGATTTTTATGTATTTTTTAACTTATAATTTAATTGGTACCAAGAACATATTAGAAATGGGTGGCCAAAAGAAAGATACTTTAACCAAATTAAATGAATAAAAATTTATATATATTTTAGAATTATTATTTTATATATTGACTTGACTGTTGAATTATGGTTTATAACATTGGTATCTTCATTTAATAATTAAATTATTATTTTATATGCATATATAGTGATGCTAGAATTTTTAAAAATTTATTAATTTTTATAAATATATTATTATAAAATACATGTTAATTTTTTAATTTTGTTTATAAAATTTAAAAATCTTATAAACTCATTTACCAAGTTTAAAAATTTGATTGATGTATCAAATAATTTTCATTTAAATTAATTATCATGAATTTTTTTAAAATTTTACTTTTGATTAAAATAAGTGCAAATTAACTAAACTAAAATAATCTTTTATTTACTTTATAAAAGATAATAAAATATAAAAAATTAATATTTATGAGAAAGTTTAAATTTTAATTTAATTAATTTATACAATAACAATAAATCTAAAATTTAAATATCAATATTTATAATTTTTTTCTATGTTACAATTTTTTTATAAAAAAAATTCAATAAAATTAATTTAAACATAAAAGATCCATAGGTGTTGAAGTTGTATTTTTTCACTTGATTTGGATGTTTCATAGTGACTGAATTGCTCTAGTATTTTGCATAAATATCTGACCATGCCAGCCAATGTAACTTGCAACAATTAACAAACAATACTTTTTGAACCATCCAAATCATGGCATCTTTCATAATACCATTCAAAGCCCTGTTCTTCCTTATAGTCGTCCTGCATCAGTCTCCCTCTGTTTTTGCTTCTTCATCCTCCATTGCTGCAAAAGAAACGGAAACTCTTCTAAAATGGAAAGCTAGCCTTGACAACAACACCCAAACTGTGCTCTCGTCTTTGTGGGTCGGCGGCAGCCCTTGCAACTGGGTCGGAATTACTTGCGACAAGGCTGGAACCATCACCAATCTAAGCCTTCCAGATTATGGGTTGAAAGGTACACTTCATAGTCTTAACTTTCTGTTCTTCCCTAACCTGGTGTGGCTTAACCTTCGTAACAACTCACTCTATGGGCCCATTCCCTCACACATTGGGAACCTTTCCAAGCTCACCCACCTTGACTTGTCATACAATACCTTTTCTGGGAATATTCCATCTGAAATTTGCTTATTGAAAAGTCTTGAGTTGATTTCCTTAGCAAGTAATGAGATCAGTGGTTCTATTCCACTAGAGATAGGGAGACAGAGTTCAGTTTCCGAGATCTATTTCTTTGATAACTATCTACGTGGTTCGATCCCCACTTCCATAGGAAATTTGACCAACTTATCTATTCTCTATCTCTATGGAAATATGTTTTCTGGGTCGATACCTCAAGAGATAGGGATGCTTAAATCTCTCACTGAATTTAGGCTGAGTCTTAATAATTTTCTGGTTCAATCCCTGCTTCAATAGGAAACATGACGAAGCTTGTGGGGTTACATCTTCAACATAATCATTTATCAGGGCCAATTCCTTCAACGCTCAACAATCTTACTCATTTGCAATCATTACGTTTAGCATATAACAATCTCAATGGTCCATTACCAGAGAATGTATGCCACGGTGGACTCCTCGTTAATCTTACAGTTATCAACAACAATTTGATGGGTCATATCCCAACAAGTTTGAAAAATTGCAAAAGTTTATACAGAGTTAGGCTTGAAGGAAACCACTTCACAGGAAATATATCAGAAGCTTTTGGTGTGTATCCGAATTTGAATTATATTGCATTAAGTAACAATAGATTTTATGGTGAACTTTCTCCGAAGTGGGGGCATTGCCATAATCTAACAAGCCTAAAATGTCCAATAACAACATTTCTGGAAAGATACCACCTGAGTTGAAACGTGCAAACTAGGTTACAGGAACTCGATCTCTCTTCTAATAATCTTGTAGGTGAGATTCCTAAGGAACTGGGAGCATTGACATTGATGTTCCGTCTTTTGCTAAGTGGTAACCAACTTTCAGGCAAAATTCCACCGGAGATTGGGGTTCTTTCAAATCTACAATATCTTAACTTGGCATCAAACAATTTAAGTGGGTCGATTCCTTACCGACTGGGAGAGTGCTCAAAGTTATTGAACTTGAATTTGAGCAAAAATAAACTTGGAGAAAGTAGTTGCATTTTCAATAAGCTTCATACATGGTCTTCAGATTCTAGATTTGAGTCATAATTTGATTATTGGAGCGATACCACAACAGCTTGGGGAATTACACTCCTTGGAAATATTGGATCTTTCTCACAATATGCTCAATGGTTCCATCCCAATTTCTTTCAATGATTTACAAAGCTTGACTGTTGTGAATATCTCTTACAATCAATTAGAAGGCCCTATTCCCAACATTAAGGCATTCCATGAGGCTTCATTTGATGCCTTAAGAAACAATAATGGCCTATGTGGTAATGCCACTGGCCTAATGCCTTGTGTTGTCGTTCATAGAAAAAGCACCAAAGTCATCATTTTCATTGTGCTTGCACTCTTTGGTCTTTTTCTTTTGCTCTTTATCATGGTTGGAAGTTTCCTTATTCTTTGCCAAAAGAAACGAACCAGAAAATCTGAGTCAATGGAGGCACAACTTGGAGATTTTTCACAGTGCGGGGATATAATGGAAGAATACTCTATGAGAACATTATTGAAGCCACTGAAGATTTCAGCTCCAACAATTGCATTGGTTCAGGAGGCTATGGAGCTGTTTATAAAGCTGCACTACCCATTGGTGAGGTGGTTGCTGTAAAGAAACTTCACCAATCTGAAGATAGCATGATTTCCAACAACTTGAAAGCCTTTGAAAGCGAGATTCATGCTTTATCAGAAATAAGGCATCGTAACATTGTGAAGCTGTATGGCTTTTGTTCACATCCAAAGAACTCATTTTTGGTTTATGAGTTTGTAGAAAGGGGAAGTTTGAAAATGGTGTTAAGGAATAAGGACACGGCAATGGAGTTGGATTGGGAGAAGAGGCTGAATGTTGTAAAAGGAGTGGCCAATGCCTTGTCTTATATGCATCATGACCATTCACCACCTATAATTCATCGAGACATTTCCAGCAATAATGTTCTTCTGGATTTGGACTATGAGGCTCATGTCTCAGATTTTGGCACAGCCAGGTTTTTAAAGCCTGACTCCTCCAATTGGACTTCACTTGTTGGCACTTTTGGGTACATAGCTCCAGGTATTTATTGATATTTCTATTTTAAAGATGCTTTAAACATGTCATCATTTAATTATAAGTATTAGTTTTGTGTGCAAATTGATGCGTTAAAAAAAAAAGTTCTAAGTAGTATTATGATTGTAGCTTTTCAAATTTTAAGTATCAAATTAAGAATTTTACTATAATTTAAGTATCAAATGTGTAATTAATCTTTGAAGTTTAATATTTAATTTTTCAATATTTAATAAATCAATTTGATGAACTAAATGTAAAATTTTATTTGAACTTCTAAATTTTAATTTTCAAGTAATATTCTAAACATTTGCAATTTCTTTTCAACATGTATTTTATAATCTTCTCAATATTCCCACATAATAGTATACTGGTTAGATATATTTCTTGCTTAATAGAGCACATTGATTAAATATATTTCTTTAAGCAGAGTTGACTTATACAATGAAGGTAGATGAGAAATGCGATGTCTATAGTTTTGGAGTTCTAACAATCGAAGTTCTTATGGGAAGGCATCCTGGTGATCTTCTATCATATTTATCATCATCCGCGTCAGCATCAACATCAGCATCGGTACCTAATGACCTACAAATTTTACTTAAAGATGTGATAGATCAACGTCTCTCACCACCAAAAAACCAAGTTTTAGAGGATATAGTCTGTACTGCAAAGATAGCATTTGCATGCTTGAATAGCAATCCCCAACTTCGGCCAACCATGCAACAGGTTGCTCAAGCCCTTACCAGTCAATGGTTTCCATTTCCCAGTCTTTTCATGATCATCAAATAGGGAGAACTGTTGGTCATGGAGTTTGTGGCCAACTAGATGCTAACAATTTGGATAATAATTCTTGGTACGAGTTTCATTGTTAGGGAGACATGTTTTCCATGATGATTGCATTGTTAGGGGGATTTTCAAAAATTTTGCAAACTTCTTTACAGTGTTTAAAATGAAGAGATAATACAATAAACAATCTTGCTTTGATATAATTGTATAAAATGTTATGGCAATCGATGGATGAATGCATTTTACATAAATTTTTCAGAGTGTTTCCATTAATCTCTACATTATTATCCATACATTGGAATGGATATCTTTTGAAATATTGAATTTAGTTATACAGACACTTATTGGAAAAGATTTATAGATATAGTGGTGGCAATTGGGTGTGTGTGTCATGTTACTTCGGATTCAATTACTAGGGATTAAGAAATTTTAGATTCAGGCTATTTAAATAAAATCTCAAATTATTTGAATTTAGACTATCGAATTCTGATCATTTTGAATTTAAATTGTTGTATTTTAAAATGAAATTGATTTATTTATGGATGTTTATTTCGGATTAATCTTTCAAATCATTTTGAATATTTACTTTGATGTTTTCTTTAAGAATGACTATGAAATTGATCTTTTTTCCTTTGTTATTGCTCAGTTTGTATGTTTGAGCTTAGTATGTGGTATCTAACCGCTCCAGATTCATTCCTTTGCTCTGAATTTGATGGATTATCTTTTGTTATCAATTAGGTATTTCGTTTTCCTTTTATTGATTGTACCAAAAATCTGTTTGCTAACTACCGTTAGCTTTATAACCCTTTGATTACTTTAATAAATTTGGCTTAGTCTAAAAAAAAAGTTCAAATTAATTGGAGGTTAAATCTGTTCGAGTTCGAATAATTGAGCAAATTTAGATTGTTAATATTTTTCTAATCAAATTAGATTGGATTAAGTTCGGGTCAAGATAGATTTAAGGTTATATATTTTAATTATTATTATAAGATGAAAATATTAATGTTCTTTAGAAAATTTTTAAAATTTTATTTATTGATTGCTATCCAAATTGAATTAAATAAATATAGAAAGAAGTTTGATTAAGAAACAAAAGAATGAGCTTAGAAGCATAAAGTACTAAAACATGAGAAAAAAAATGGATTCACAGCTTACATAAATAGCTGTGTGTGCAAGCCAAAGGTAATTTTGTGCAACAAAGCTTTTTCGATCAATCTAACAATGGTATCATCTTGTCTATGTCCCAACTTTTCTTCTTTCTCATCCTTGCATTGCTTCAATCGACACTAGTCTTTGCCTTGGTAATTGGTATCCTTTCAAACTACTTCTTTAGCTACTGCTCCATCCATTGAAACCAAAACCCTTCTAAAATGGAAAGCTAGACTTGAGTGGGGGTAAGCAATTGTTCAGTTGGTCGATTCAATTCAGTTTTAAAAAAACTTAAAAAACCACAAACCGACTTAACCAAACCAAGTTATACAAAGCTAACACCATAAGTAAGCTCTAGAATTCAACATCTTTGTCCAATCGAATTTACAACAAGTAGAATAGTTCAACATCCAACACTCCTACTGTCAACTACTTCCTAAGAAAGCAGTAACAAGTACATCCGAATCATACAGAGACGAAACAAAAGTTATATTCAGGAAACTGGTCCTAAGTAGTCACCTTCCAAACTTACCAATGCCTGAAATTCCCTCTCTGCTTCCATCCACTTTGTTCCGATCACAATAAATCGGATGACAACATCCTTCTCAATCTTTGAGTGCTTGTCATTCATGAAGAGAGCGTTCTCTCCAGGCACATAATGGTAGTCGGGCATTTTTATGTGAGACAGATAGATGTTCTGGATTGGTCCACACTTCAAGAAAACTCCATGTTTTAGTACCTTGTGTACAACTCCTTCCAAAATCTCTCCTCTGAACATCTTGAAGGTGATTCCACTGAAGACAACAGGGAAAAGCACATCCCCAGTGTTCTGTCTAACTCTGCCCTCCCCAATGCTCTCCAGAGTTGTGACAGCCATGAAATATCCAAGATCCTTGGTGGCCTTCTTCCGAGCAAATTCATCCAAAAGGCGGACCACTATAGCCTTTTGGAGCATCAAGCCTTTGGTATCCAAGCTGTCAGCAGGAATTATGACATTCCATGGCAACTGCACCTTGAGAAACATTTTGCAACTGCAATCAAAAGGGAAATGTAAAAAAAAAAAAAGGGTAATTCACAATGAAACCAATGTCCTTAAGAGTAAGAAGAAACAGTCTGTCAATCTTGAAGAATTCAAAAATCAACTTAGTCCTATCCCAATATCAAGTATGTTAAAGCCAATTTCAACAATCCAAACAGAAAAGATTGAGAAAGATTATTTTTTAACTAATTGAAATTTTACGAGATTGTAAAGAAAGATAACCCTACAATGCCCGTTTCACATGATCAGCAATGCTCAATTCCACGAACATGGATAGCAGCAAACCGAGAATCAAAATAAAGCAATAATAAACAGATAGTACCAAAGGAAAACTGTGGCATTTCCTTCAAGAACAGTCAAAAACTTTTCTATGATGTTATTCAATACAAGCCGGTCAAACAAAATCCTATTGAAAATCATATCTTTTAAACTACAAATGAATACTAGTTTAAACCAACCAAAATTACTAGAACAAAAGTTTCACTCACTAATCATGTGACAAAAGTTTATAACCAAAACAATTACTTGGCCATAAGATTCAGACACGACAGAACCAAAAACAAAACCAAAATTCCATGTCAAGATAATCTTAATTTCCCAGAATTTGATCAAAGAAAATGTTCAAAAACAATGAAGAAAACCCATCATTAATTCAAACTTCCCTTCTAAAAAGAAAGACCAAACCTGGCATAAAGACAAAAACCCATTACGAATCAAAGCTTTGTAAACGTAAAAATCAGTACTACATTTAAAACCAAACAAAACCATGAAAACTGCAAAGTAAAGCATCAGAATCATTGACAAAACGATAAATTTAGAATAAGAGAAAAAATCGCTTTTTACCTGAATCGATGATTTTGAGAGCAAAGTGAGACCGAGGAAGGAGGTAATGAACTTACTAGCAAATCAACGGTTGTAACTTAAAAAGATTCAGATCGACGGTCCAAAACATTTTTCCTGGAATAGGTTACTTAAAAACTTTTCGAGTTTATTTTCAATTAAACAACGTTTGGCATTTGGCTTTTAGCCTAATGTGTTTTTTTTTTTTTTAAATAGAAAAATATTCTTTTCGATTACTTTTTCTTTATTTTGATAAGAAAAATATGCGTTCTGAATTTTTATAATTTTTTAAATAAATTCCTTTTTAACGATTTAATTGCCCAAGTGAAAAAATAAAAATTTAGTATACATGAATAAGATAATTAAAATAATTTGTATTTTCATAATATTCCCAAAAAAAAAAAAGGAAATTTCTTTTATCATTATTATTGTGTCGTGATTTAAACAAGACAAAACAAATTTCAAACATAAATTAAATATAAACTAAGTTACATTGCAAATTTTATAAAATATAAATTGAGTTAGAACTGAATCTAATAAAATTAATTTTGATTTGATATATCAATCTTTTTCTTTTTCTTTCTCTCGAACATGTGTACAAATCTCTTGAATTATGATTTAAAAATAATGTTATAAAAATATAAACAAATCAAGTTGAATTATTTGATTTATTTATTATCAAATCAAACTCAAATTCGAATTATTTAAATAATAAATCAAATTTAATTTAAATAATTTACTGCTTGAGTGGAGAGATTCAAAAGCTTAATTAGATTTATATTTTAATATATTTAATGTATAAATAAGTAAAAAACAAAAGGAGCTTATAATTTATAATTTCACCTAATTAAATCAAGTGTATTAAATCTAACTTGAGTGACAATTAAATTACATGCAATATTTTAACATAAAAAATAAAATTTAATTAAATTTAAATCAAGTTTTGAACTTCGAATTTTCCTTAGAGTTAAACCGATAATGCATCAGGATTCAACTGGATTACATCTTACAATGCTATCATATTGCTATGCCTCCTATTTTCCTTCTTGTGTCAAATGGATTCGTCATATATGAATATAAACTTCAAAGGAGAAACATTATACAAATAAGCAAAATACAGTTTAAGGTTAACATCCCCTCCAGACCACAACCTTTTGGACCATCCCACGGCTGAATACCATTCCAGCATAGAAACAATTAACTTTACCGCCATGGCCAGAAATCTCTTGAAAAACTTTCTTCCGACACTGATAAACAACCACAAGTCAACCTTCCCTCCGTGCTCAATATTAAGTCAATAAACTCTAGCTTGCCAAATAGACCAAGCTTTTATACCTCATTGCAAATAGGTTTGGCTCAAAACACTTCCACTTGGCCATGGAGCATTCAGGGTATGGTTTCCATCTCAAATAGACCATGTCAAATGTGAATTATTTACACAAAAGAAGAGAACAAACTAGTTTAAAAATGGCATAACTTGCCAATTTTAAGTCAACTACTAGACAACTATCAGCCTACGCAGAAGACTTGGGTATCTTATACTGCTTCTTGACAAATTGGGATGCCTCTGAATCTGCCCTGTGGCATAATATTCTCAGTAAAGTCTGGTTATCAGCACCTAGTTTGCCACTTGAAGTTCTCAAGTCCTCGACCAATTCTCGAGTCTGCAAACGATTATGGTTGAAAAAAATTAATATCACGTCTTCCTGTGGTATAAACGTGGAAAAATATTTGTTTGCATAATGCCCAAAAGATTATCCTTTGTTAAAAGATTAGATTGTGGTGTAGTGCAATGTATGTTAAAAAATTCAAACACTTAAACAGGAGATAATATAGGCACAATGGTCAGAAATATTTTTATTTGTCATTAAACTACCTGGTAATGACAATTTTTCATTCCTTCCAATAATTTTCACCATAACTTTGGTAGCAAATGTACCCTTTCATCTTTCCAAAAGAGAGGTATGAAACAGCAACAGTCAAAGCACCATATCTTACCTCCAATCCATGTAACTTTACAACAAGCCGAACACGTGCTACTTGATTTTCAACGACTCCTCGAGGAAGTCCATCACCTCCAGAAATAAAGAACTCCTAAGTAACACACCAACATTCATGTGAATAGATAGTGTCACTCGAGTCCTACAGCTACAATAAATCAATCATATTGCACACACTAAACAATCATATTTGATCAGACATCAAAAGTGAAGCAGCAAGCCCAATTCGTTTATAACACCTTTCACCTAAAACATCATGATGTACTTATTTTAGAGCAACATAAAAATGATTATTTTCAAGGTCTAAGTTTGTCTGAACAAAAAGAGGTACTCAAATCAGTGAAGAAAGAGATTCAAACTTCTACTACTGAGAGATCTGTGTTCAATATAATCCTTGTCAATATTGTTAAATTTTATTGAAGCCGCCAGTGATCACCTTTAATATTTCCAAATCTTCTTCCAATAGCTTTGCATCACTTGGGGAGAAAACTCGTGATTGGCCTCCATCTAAAGAAACTCGAAGTAAGCCTTCCTAGAAAAAGAAACCCTTTAAATAAGTAAAACTTTAAGAATCAGTTTAAATTTTGGTGGAAGGTGCAAATTTAGAAAAAGACCAGTGATGCTTGAAGAAGACTGGTCACAACTCGATCCCTCAGTGGCTCCACAATAATATCACATAGTTGATTTAGTTCCTGCAGCAGTTAACAATGCACAGTATATCTAAGCATCAATTAACATACATTTTTAATAAATCTACATTAGCACTAAATACATTTTATAAAATTTTAAATATGAAAGCTTGACTACAAAAGAAAACTTTAAAACTAAATTCAAGCATTAACAGAGACAAGTAGAATGTACTCAAATTAATAATATAAGCAAAAGAATACTTACTTTTACCAAATTAAATGGAAATAGCCATACATAAGGTCTAAACACTATCCTTTAACCAATCAGGTTCATAAGCAACACTGGAATTGACCTGATATACTCCAAATGTTATCAAACAACCAGGTATCATGTCTACAGGAATGAAAGCAGCTATTTACAGGCAGTTCTTGCGTTAACGACGTAAGTTTAAGGGTAATGCGTCTACATAGTACTAAACAATATGTCAAGTTGCATAAAGAATTGTAGGATTGACTTGGCATATATTCCAGATTTTATCAAATCATTTGGCTTTATGATGGAGGATCATTTAGGTTTGTATTTAATTATGATCATTTCTAGACAAGGTAATATTTGGTATTTTGTTTTGTTATTAAGGTTCAGCAATTAATTTATAAGCGGTAATGTTATTTCAGTTTGGGGTACGTTTTGGACGATGAATTATTGAGACTTTGAGATATTGACGACTGAGATTTAAATGTTATTTCAGTTCTTCTATTTCTTCCCTATTTCCTTTGTTTCTTCCTTGTTGCTTCTGTCTCTCTCTGATTTAACCTCTCACTTCTATTATCTAGTGTAAAATATTTGCCACTCATTTTACCGCTTGCCCCCACACATCACATGATGGTAAGATATATGTAGTACTCTGAGGTATCCAAAAAGTCATGTGACCATAACAAAGGCAATGATGACATATTAACTTTTGCCTGACAAGGAAAAAGGTCCACTCCAGTAAACTTTAAAACCTACAATAACAAATACCCATCGTAACCATCCAAAATCATGGAACTCACCCATGAGTTATAAGCCCGACAAATGTTGATTAGGAAAACAAACATTTTGTTATAATTGGTCAATAAAAGTAATGAGAAGAGGTGAGATTCAAAAGTCCGAACTATGACACCCTCGAACAAGTCCAGGAAAGAGAAAAAAAAAACAAGCTATTTCACTCACACTAGCCATTATTATTATTATTATTATTATTTTGGAAAAAAAAAAAAAAGACTTACCACATCAAGCGGTTCAATAACTGCTTCCAACCGAGATTGAGAAACACTAGGTTTATACAAGTTCTCGACAAATGGCTCCCTTAAATCCCAGAAAATAATTTTAGTTCCTGCAACTTGCAGAAAATACTTAATCAGTGATCAATTCTGTTTCTTAAGAAAAATAAAATAGATATTACCAGTAAACTCTCGAATTCGGTCAATAGCAGCATTTATATCTTTCCTGCTTCCATCAAAGGTGTCTTTCTGGGTTGAGCTTTTAGATTTATCATCCATGGATTTCCCTACAGACAAATGGAGAAGTTCAGTCTGAGAAGCAAAAAGTAAAATTGCTTCAATGGAAAGCAGCTGAAGTACTGACACAGTCAAAAAATACTGAACATGTACAGACAGAAAACATCTAAATAGAATGCAGAAGTATGAGAGCTTTGGTAGAAAACACTCCACAATGTGAGATCTGGACACCACTCTATCCCCAAACAATAGCCAAAATTGAGGATTTCAACTATGTGAAAACATATTGATTTAGGCAGCAAGAAAATGAATGTCAACTATGGGAAGCATTCAGTTCTCAAGACCAAGTTAAGCCAACTATTTTTCATTCTCATTTCTGTTAACTTTGGAAGTCAAGAAAGCTAACCGTCTCAGAGGAATATATTAATTGCCAAGTTTCAAACACACGAGATACGTTTATTACTAAAAAGAATGAAAATAGATAGTATCAGTGTGAACTTCAGATACATACTGATGCAGATTTTTTCCTGGGGCCTTTTCCTTGTCCAGCGATCCCAGATGCTATCTTCCAACTTGTTCAGTTGACTGATAGCATACTGCCAGTAGCAAAAATTCAAGTAAGAATATATTCTGATAACAGCATCAGCAAATAAAGAAAACAAATGAAGGGAAACAGAGGGACCTCTAGAGTATGATTTTAGCACAACTGAAAGAATGACCAGGCAGGACATCACTATTGGGTAATATTTAGAACAGTCAACCAGAAAAGGAAAACTGAAAACTTCGAATGTAAACAAATCTTTTTCATTATTATATATGCCTTCTCCATTATCGGCAATGATAAATCAAATCGATGAAAGCGTCAGTCAGGGAAGATCATCAGATTTCAATGGGGAAAAGAAGAGGTGGCATAGGTCAGCTCTATAGTTCTGCCCCAACTAGGCTATGAAGAATGCCTTTGTATTCATTAACTCCAAAGATTAAGTTTTTCGTTGTTTTTTTTTTTCTATCATATTCTCCATACTCTTGTTTTTATGCTGAAACAGAATTTTGTGATAATATTACAACACTATACCAGTACATACAGTGGCATAGCCAAAAAATAAAATAAAATAAAAAATTCAGTGGGGTCATATAGGCATATAACAATCTGCATTATACAAACACGTCATTTGTATGCATTGTCTTGGTCAAGGAGCTTTGCATTAAATCAAAATGTTCTAAATATTCAAAAAGATTGAATATATTATTCCAATACTTCAATAAAAAATTATTATAGCGAGATATTATTTCTTGCAATCATGCCTATAATATAATCATCCATGAAATTTTCAAGTTAATTAAGCTGTGTATCAATTTATTGCTACTTTTGTTATTTACCTATTACTTTCCGAAAGCAAAAGGCAAAAGATGTATTTGGACACAATAATATACAAATATTCCTGAATAAGTTAGAATTAAAAAATAATTTTATGCATGATAAATGAATGATTTCATTTTATACAGGACAATTATATTTAAACATATGCTGCCTTTCACATTTTAATCAAATATGTTTAAATGTGTTTTTCCCTTTTTTTTTTCTTTTTGATAAAGTGTATGACCATATTTATAATACAAAGTAGAAATACTTTTTAAGATTTTCTTGAAAACTGCATATACTCAGTGTCATAATTTAAAAAAATATACTTATTTGTCCCCTTATATTAGCTTTTTATTTAATTCTAGTAGGGTCAATATGAGAAAATCATAAAAAATTTGCCCTAACATATGTACATAAAATAAACTTTTCTAGGGTTGACCCCACTCAACATAATGTAGCTACATCCCTGGGTACATATCACCTATATTTCTACTCAAACTAATTCATTTATTTCCTACTTACGACAATCTAGTTTAACTGCTTTTCTATGGGTGTCTTGGAAGGGTGAACGTGAACCAACGGATTAACTGTGCACTAATGAAGAGTTATTAGAGATATAATAAGACTATTGCTTATCCATACACCATTACTTTGCAGTCTTCAATGGTTAGAGTGCATAAAGTATGCTTACAAAAATAAGGGAAAAACAAATAATCCTACCACCAGTGATAATGAATCACACGAAGGTTATCAACTACGCATCAAGCAGCAGCAACTACCAAAACATGAACATTAATTAATCATTATTGATCAAAAGAAAAAACCATTTGCACCAATCCTAAACACCCCCTCCCTCCCACCCCCACCCCCCCCCCCCAAAAAAAAAAAAACAGAAAGAAAGGTAAAGTCATCCAGACATGTGCTAACAATGAGGACAAAATGAAGAACTCACATATAAAGTGTTTAACTGAACACATAGGGTTGGTGTTGTCAGGACATTAATTTCGATGGACCTTTTCTGATCTGGCAGCCTAGAATCAAATAGTTCCTTCTTCACAAAAGCCTTTATTCCAGCTTCTTTTCTATATCGGGTGAGAACAGGCAAAGGTGGAATCAGCTCATCTTTGCTAGCTGCAATGTGAAATTCATTCATCAAGGTCGGAATTAGATCATAATAGGCAACAAAAAGAAAAAGCAGCAGAAGAAAGAGTGTACTGAACAGATTGAAACACCAAACAGAATTCAAACAATGAAAGTGGCAAGAGAGATGTAAAAGAACAATACTATACTGATTTCCCTTGAGAAAATTTTAGTTTCCATGATGTGTAAAGCTAATCAAGCAATTAATAACTGAAATAGCAATAGAGAAAACAAGAACACATTTATCAAGGTTTTCAGATTAAGCAATTTTGCCAGAGTGGAGAATGGAAGTTTATGAAAAGAGAGAGATATACTTTTCCAGCCTACTTCTATGGATGTTTCCTTGCTATTTGAAATGCAAGGGAACCTGAAGTTGATAGAATGCAATTTAGGAATCCTATTTTCTATTCTTTGGCTATAAGTATGATTACACCAACATCCAAAGAGAAACTGATATATTGACGAGAAGATTAATAGCTCACTATTGTCATGGTTGTCTATTAAGTGAGCTCTTACTTTTTCAGAAAAAAAAAGGGAAAAAACAATATAAATGTAGGGATCTGAGGATTACACAGAAATCAATGACGATGAAGATTACAGCACTGAAGTTAGTAAGATAGTCAAGCAACAGCTGTCAGATGATAATATTGGCAAGAAATAATTTGAGGATTAACTGATATAGGAATATTTCATTTGATAATAATTCCAGGATTTAACCCAGAATACTATCTATGTTAACAAGGGATGGTCTAAAAGCAATAAAAAGTACTGACAGAATGCTCATTCCATAAATAAACTTGCCGTATCCATATGGTTGAAGATATTATAATATATCACAAATCTTCCATTAACATCTTTAGGTCCAACTTTTGACTCCAACTGGTTACATCACTTATTCATTTCAACTGTCATTGATGTAACTCCAGTGGTTATTGTTTTTTATTGTATTTTACCACAAAATAGTGAAACAATATTAACTACCACAAATACAATAAAAGAAAAAGGAAAAAAGAAATTCCAGTTTCTTTCATAGAAATGACAGTCAAATCCATCAACTCAGAACGTTAAACATAAAGGACACTGACCTAAATTATCAACAATATGATTTGCATATACTTGAAATGCATTATCAATGCCACGAAACAGAGCATTCAGTTCCATTAGCCTCATGGGAACTTTAATACCGAAAAATTGATCTACTGTCTGCACCCAAAAAGAAAAAGGAAAATAGAATGTATTATTAATATCTCCAGAAAGTGATAAACATCTATAGGCAGAATGAAATACAACAGAAATGAATGCTGATTTTAAAATTATGTTAAGAAATATATGAGATTCCAGATTCCAAAAGCCTGTGAAAACTGATTCTCTACTAATAGCAATCAAATATTTGTTATTGATTTACCACTGCCTTCAATTTCAATAACATAAAACTCCAGGAGAAAGTTAAAAAATAGTCAATTATTCATCAAAATACATACTATTATTATATTAATAACCAGTTATGAGTTATGACTGAACGGCAAACAACACATTGATTAAGGTCTGGAATGAAACTACTAATCTTTGTTAGTAAAATATTCAATGAATCAATTAGTTGAAATGGACAAAGCTGAGATCTAGTCTGCAGCTGGTACGCAGGGAGATAAAGGCAAGCATGTCAGTGCAAATGCACACAGTAAATTCAGACAATTTTCTAATTTCTTTATGCTTATCACCATCATAGTTCCTAAGTGATGGACATGGTTCTCTAAAAGCATTTAATCAAATTATATAAATCTATTATATCATTGAGACAGTCCAAGTAGCCTGGTAATAAGCAACATTAATTGGCTCCAAGGGGATTAAAAGCTGTCCCATAAGGCAAAGTCACAGTTGAAAGTTTAACTGGTACCGCCCATGTCTTTCAAGGACTATGATACTGACTCTGAATTGCTAATTTATTCCAAATTTGATAATACAAAATTAAACCACCCATAGCAAATTTCTCTGCAGATTACTGAATTTTATACATGGATATTTGTTTAAATTAGCAAAATATTAAAAGGATAAAATGCATAAGGGTAGAATGACTGTCTGCAAAAACAAACTTAGATCAGCTGATCTCTAAACAAAACTGAATTGAATTAAAATTAATAAACTCAAAAGTTATGCCGGTGAATATACAAATGACATTAGAAGGACAAGAAATTGCAAGTCGACAGATAATATAAGAAAGATACACAAGAACAATCTATAAGCTGGTCATTAAAATGTATAGTTACTAATAAAATAAAGGATGATTGCAAGTGTAAAAGTTCAGGACATTTATGGACTCTTTTCATTCTGAAAAAACTTTGTTGTACGCAGAATGAAAAAGTTTTCCATCGTTTTCTAACAGAAATTACACTTTGAATAGTTAAAACTGAAAAAATATTCTCAAAGAGAGAAAAATGAAATTGGAATCTGGTAAAAACAAAAAAAAGGGAAAAAAAAAGCTGTTCTCAGAAGCACAAAGGTTTACAGAGTATAATTTCCTTGAGAATTGTTTTAGCAAACAGTCAACCAAATGATGTTTGAAGTTCTGAAAATAGCAAACTACAGGATGAATCCTGATAAATATCATACACCAAATAATCAACTGCTCATTTAAATAGATTACTTATTTAGAAGCCCCAAAAGGGCCAATAAAAGAAACTTGAATGTTCATACCTCCTCGACAATCCTATAAACTTCCACAATTGAACTGCCATGCCGCTGTTGAGGTGATATTGGGTCCCATTGCTAAAAATAATTTACAGAGAAAATAAGCTTTATCAACAAAGAAAGACTTCAACCAAGATTCAAAATAATATGGAGTACATACATACATGTAGCTAATCATAACACAAATTTCCCATGATTTATGGAAAAAAAATAAGCTTATAACAGACAAAATCGGTTCAAGTCAACTCAAATCAAGGACAAAACTACTATTCTCCAAACATCCCACTAAAGTTACATTGCAAGCACTTTAGTTTGTCACCACACTCACATATATGGTCAATTCTTAAGTACTTTTTCAACTTTATAAGATCTACCATGGATTTCCAGTTCACAAAATACTGTACCACAATGGTATCTAATGTTATTAGAAACAACAACATACCCATGCCTGAATTCTCTAGCTTTACCTCATTCAAATCTTAACTCCCACCCACCAATAGAACACTAAACAGAAAAAATTAAAGCTGTAAAAAAAAAAATAAAATAAAAGAAGCTATGTAGCAACAACTGAAGCAAGGACTAGAGAAAAATATTCATTTCTAAATCAAACATAAGTGCAGAGAGAGAGATAAGTGACAAAACAACAAAAGAAAGGAGGAGAAATTGCGACATTTGAAGGGAGAACAAAAACAACAAAATTTGTTTACCTCTTGTTGAAGAGTCCGCTCCACCCAACCTATAATTCTTCCTAACTGTGAATTTATCCATCGCAACACCACTGTTCCAGAAACAGATTCAATCTGGAAAAGAAAAAAGAAAAATCATTTTAGAAAAAAAAAAAAAAGAGAAAATAAATATCAAGTACACACTATTCTGACCAGAATTTTTGTCCTATCAATATTAACGGATGAATTCTTTCAAGATGAACTAGTGATAATGAGAAAGAAACTATATCAACCATATAGTCCCAAAGGAGAATATGTACTCAAAACAGCTATAACGATGGCTGCCCAAGCATGAATTGGTTTATAAAATAATTTAAAGAAGTAGCTTTTTAGTTTAAGTGATTAGAGAAGATTTACAAAGATAAATCATTTCAAACTACAACAACCATTTAGTGCCTATAGATAAGAGAATGTGATTGCACGTGCTCCAAAATATAGGTCTAGGAAAAGATAAAATGGGGTTAAACATAAACATCAGTAAAGTAACATTATATTGCATAAGAAAAGCTCTTATTTTTAGAAATGAAGAAGCAACAAAAGAAAACCTAAAAACAAAGTCAGTCACAACTGTTTTTTCCAAAGTTTTTACATCTACTAATCACAGCAAGTAACTGCCAGAATCATGCTATCAATGCATTAACATCTTGGCAAGACTATTAGATATTCAGGGTCTTAAAGCAAAGGAAAATGGTAATCTCTCACAAGTGTTTAGGAGCACATGGAAGACAATTGAATACAGATTCAACCACATTAAAGAATAAAGGACCAACTGCATCTTTGTAAATAACTGGAGAGACATGAGTGAAACACTTTCAAGTTCCACAAGCTCATCTATGAGGACCAAAACTATGTGTCTCCCATTATAAATCTTTATTATATTTGGAGTCTTTCAGTAAACCAAACAAAAGAAAAATTAGGCTCCCATGAATTGCTGCTTGTGTTACTTTTCGTTTACGAAACACAAAGCAAAAAAGTGCACTTGCATACAAAAGCAAACAAGTTTTTCTAATTCTTAAAAAACTGATAACAAAAGGAAAGATTTTGCTTCAATATTGAACAGTTATGTTTGGACTGGAGTTATTTTTAGCCAATTTTAATCAAATATGAAATGATGATATCATATGATTTTATCATTTAATTAGCTTTTCTTTTTCTTTTTTTGAAATAAATTACTTAATTCTTTTATTAAAAGTTTTGAAGGAAGCAAAAAGCAATAACCAAACAAAACCTGTATAACATAAATGTACCATTGAAATGCATTTGGAACACCTAGATATAGGTGTTTCACCATGTGACAAGGTATTTCTTTATCAGCTCCAATTATAGACACCCAAAGTCCCTTATAACTTCAGAAAGCTGTTCTGCTTGTTATTATTAGAATAAAAAACTTAGGACGATAAAATCTAGCTATCTCACCAGGTATGGATTTAGCTTCCTGAAATGGATCTCCACATTATCACCTTCACAAGCAGATTTTATGAGGTTCAGTATATATTGCTCAAGGTTATCAGCAGCTGGAAATACAGTTACAACATCCTCAGTCAGATGTTCAGCACCATCAACAAAAGGTTTCTGGACAAAATAAGTCTCATTAAGATCTCAAAGTTGAAAATAACAAATAATTGAAGCTTATGAAGTACAACAATTGGATTAGATAAGCTAAAACATATATAGATTTGCTATGTATCAGCTTACCAACTTGTTCCCGTAAAGCTTGTGTAGAAGTGAAGCTGAAAAAATAATTGCATGTGGATGCCTCTGACATAAAATTGGCATGAACAATGTTGAATCTTTTTTGAGAAGCTTTTTGACCTCCTCTGCAAGCAACGCCAAAGGATGTTCACCCATTGTGTCTGATTTATCAACAGCTTGCATTATCTGTCCAAAGCAACACAGAGACTAAAACTTATCAGGCCTTTACAGATTATGAAACAGAAACAAAGCTAGCATAAAAATTTAATCAACACTTGTGATTTTAATTTACTTATAAGCAAAGGCACTAGAAAATCCAGAAGCAAACATGGCACTTGCTAATGAAGTTGGAAGCTGGAACTTTATCACTTAAAAATTTAGCTTCTTGACCTTGGACTTGAACTTGAACTTCTGGAATTGTAAAATATCTTATGAATTATGATTGGTTTTCTAACTAACTCAGAATTTTGACTCTCAAGCTAGGAGAGATGCATGGATAAATGATTTCTGAATTAAGTTGGATTATGTCCACTGGATGGATAACTAATTTCTGCATTATTATATATGATGATATGCTCAGATAACTTACATCCGTTAATCAGGTATGCTATTATGAAGTCGGTTGCACATACATAATGTTAATAACTTGCATCAAAAGAAATCACAAATGGTATAATAGTTAGTTACAGTGTGAATTTTCAGCAAAATTTTTTGATGAAAAGTAATTAAATTTGGTTAGCATGTAATTGTTTATAATGCAATTATCTAAATTTCAACTAATACATGTTAATTTGTTATTCTGGTTGTTTGAGTTATGTGCTATGTTACAGCAGCTCTATGCTCAGTCACCTTGAAAAGGAATAAATTGGGTTTCATCCTACAAAATCATGAAAACTAACATGTATTAAGCATAGTCATGCTGTCTTCAATGTCAGCACCCCTGTTTGAGCAATAAATAAAAATGAATGTCAGTAAATCTGTTTACTACATGCGTTATGCACACCATGTCCCTCCCCCCTTGCCACCCCCCTCCCCAACCCTTTTCTCTCCCACCGTGTCAGTTTCTTATTTGCATGGCAATAACTTTTTATTCGACAGATATACAAATCTCAACTCTTGAGACAATTTTTAACTCATTTTCTTGAGACCTTGCATTGAACACATTATCACACCTAGAGTGATAGATGGAGTATTATTAAAGACACAGAAGTTCAGCTTAAAAATAAATGCTTGCGTTACTTATAGAACTTGTACATTGAGCTTCTATATTATCTGTGTGCAAACGAGGTCTTGCCGTCTTGCCTCAATGATAAGACAGAACAGCAACAGGTATGGGACCTAGTGGTCCCAAGTTTAAGTCCAGCCTTACGTGGGCTTTTTCCAACTTCATGTTGAACTTTCTCGGTTTCTCCACCTATATGCTGATTGGTTGTTCATTGGTTTCTTCTCTTGGGTGTACAAGTGTTTTATATACTTATATATGTTAGGGGTTGTTTAACTGTGATTTTGTTCAATTCTATATTTAATTTCATGAAAAAAAAAAAAAAAGAAAAGAAAAGAAAATTCACATAGGATACACATCACAGATGCAGGATCCTTAAATAGTGGCAGCATTAATAGCACAAAAAAATGGAACATTGCAATCTCAACATGAAAAGGAAGAGTAGATGTTGGAGACTCTGGACTCGACATTTACATCCAATGGACTAAAATAATTTGAAATAATGAAATGGGTGACTATTAATGCAGCAATGGAAATAAACATTTCTAAATTCAGTAGAAACAATTAATTCAGCACTCCCGAATATAACTCTTATCAAGTGCGGTGAGATGGGTCAGGTAGATGTGTTCCTATTGGCTAGATCAAGCTTACTCATTCTCTGATTCCCACAATGTAAGTATAAATTCATCAAGGTTATCAGATGATTCATATGGTAAATTAGATGCAGACAAAAGAAACACTCCTGTGAACCATCACTGATTTCAAGCTTTATGTGGGCTGTTGTATTTATAGTGTAATTCATCATATTCTCCAGAGCCTTTGCAGTTATCTTTGTTTCTCTTTGGGATCTTGATTATGATACAAAAAGGAATATATGAGTCAAAAAAATTATAAAAAGTGGACTAGAACACTGACCCTTGCAAATGAATTCTTAACAGATGAAGATATGTATAATTCTATCTGATCTCGATCTGAGACAGTAGAAGATTGCACTGCCTGCAGCAAATATTGAAATGTAATTCTCAATATCAAACAGATAAAAGGAAACAACACTATTTAGAGTTCTAGATAGAAAAACGCCGGGTATCTTGGATGAGTTGGGCTCCTGTCCATTACTTTCAATTCACTTATCATCACCATTCATATGTAAAGCCCACCCATGAATTGTGGAAGTCATACTTGTGAATGGTGATTAAAGCTGTATGAAAAAAATGATGGACAGAAAATCAATGAAGGGGAGCCGGACCCATCTTGGACACTATTCATATGAATTAAAAATGTAAAACTAAAGAGTAAATGTACAACATACAATATCAGATTCTTCCAACAGAAGTCTTCTAACAATCATTGCAATTGTTACTATATCCTCCATTACCACTGATCCCTACAAGTCAAATGATGCATATTATGATACTGGAATACCCAAAACTTAAAAAATAAGGACAACAAAAAATCACTATAAAATTCAAAACAGCAAGTATTAACAATACTAATTTCAAATTGTTCAGAAAAAGACATTATGAAGCAAGTAACTGACCCAGACTCACAATAGCTAGGAAAAATGCCCAGTTGTATGTATATATGTATCCATGTTTCTACATACATGCACATACAGAAGTTGTGATGTGCATGTGAGTCTCTCCATGTGCACACATGCATGTATATATGCACATGCATCTGAATATGCAAAAATAAGGAATTTGCCAATTGCAAAATTGCAGAATGTGTTCAAACTTTCAACATTAAAAGAAAGGTCAGCATTTTACATTTAAAAAGGATATGATTTTATCATGAACAGCCTCAACTTTTGAGTGTTCCTCATACCATGTATAATTTCATATCATATCAATTCATGTAATACATTAAACAATTTTTAAACTAATACATTTGCAAATGCATAAAAGATATAATGCAGGCACATATTCACATCAATGGATGTTGAGCTCAATAAAAACAGTCAAATGTTTGTCCCTCCATATTTAGCATTAAGCCTAAGGTCCAAAGATAGTAGCCAAAGTTCATATGGGAACTAAGTTAAATGAAGTTCTTTACACAAAGCTCCTTGATGACCATATTGAAAACATGCTAACCAATTAAATAGCTTTAGATACTTCTAGACAAGTTTATAAGGTAGTTACACCAGCCTAGGCAATTTAAAGAATACTTGACACATTATTAGAAACTAAGAAAATTCAGTTAAAGAATCCAGCTATGTTTCACTTTCAGTAATAAACATTATATCCAAATTATAGATTGCAGTGCAATCAATCTATTAGCATATATTTCAGTGATATGGTGTCAAAATTTTGGACCTGTGTAAGTTTCACCATGTGCCCACAATACAAGAAAATCAGAATGAAACTGTGAATAGAAACATAAAGAAATGTTGCAAAAGAGAGAATTAGAAGGAAAAAATATTTATGACAAGCAAGTACAAAAGTTTCAAGTATAAAAATTGCGTTGCAAACAAAAAACAAATACACAAAACAAGTATTAAGAAGAATTTTTCTTATGAAGGACAATCAATACGATCACATTCTTATCTAAGAGTATTGCTGTGAACATTAAACCAAACCTCAGCAAAGTTCAAGTGGTAGTCTCCTAGTTGCTTGTCAGCCCATTTCTGGATGGGTGATAAGAAGGATTGTAAGAAAGAAACATCTCGAGAGCCCTCTTCACCGTCAACTCTGACATGCAAGCTTTTTAAATGTAACCTCTCTTGTGGGCCCCATTGTTCTTTCAATGGTATTTTCTTCAATTGGTCAATGGCATGTCGCAAAATCCCTTTTTCACTTGTGATAACATACTGTGATCACAAAATCAGTATTAACACAATATCAACAGAAATTTTAATACATGGGATGAGGAGAGCCAATAAGTGGTACCTGACGAAATAAAATCCATGCATAGCAAGTGTAGTGGATGGTCTCTGTTATTCCCAAAACACGCCAGGTTGACTTTAGGAGCTCCAGAATTTCTTCCACTTCCTACAGATTCAATAGGTTACAGTTGGTTCCACTATGAACATAATCTAGCTACATCAAATTATCTCATCCTTTTCAAAGCAAAATTTAGAATCAAGATCTTTCTTTTATTTACGTTATGCATGTATCCTACAGATTACAAAACTCCTGTCAAAAACTGAAACTATGTCGAGGTTGGTACTGTATAAAAATCAGCCAACGGGCCAAGCTTCGTTAATCATTTAACTCAATTTTAAAATGAATGAATGAAACAAAACATACAGGAAATTTGACATATTAGACATATAGTGCTTCATTAGTGTCATGTCAAAACAATTGGTAACAAATCATGCACCAACCTCGGTCAGCTTTCCCTCATCTAAAACATCAAACACACTCAGAAGCAGTTTCTCATAAAGTCTGACATTCAGATGATAACCATCTGCCCAGTGGCATACTTCTCCAGTTAAGTCACCCCGAGCTGGCCTCTCAGCAAGAGGTATGGCAATATCTCTTAGAGATCTTAAACTTTCTGTCCTTTGGACTTCCCCCGTGGAAGGTGGAAAAGCCTAACATTGAAAGGAAGGAAAAAATTCAAACCAAGACACTAATGAACACAAGTAAAAGGAATGCCAAAATATAAGACACAAGCTAGCTCAAAATAACATAAATTGAAATATGATTGACCACTGACACTAGGTAGAACTATTATAAACAAGTAGTTTTCTGAGAATAATGTCAGAGACAGGATAAATAAATTCAAATCACCAAAGAAACCAATGCTAAATCAGCTGAAATCAGTCAACTACATTATGATGCCACCTGATGTCACAATATAAAGCATAATAAACCATCTCAATGCTGAGTCAACAACACAATTACCTCAGATTCCTCAATCTTTGCCAAAAGAATTCTAAACTCACTGGCCTTGCGCCCAGATTCCCCAAAGCCAACAGCAGGGTGATTAACAAGCCCCTCTGCCAACATGTTCAACTACAGTGACAAAAGTTCAAAAATTTATTTGCCTAATATAGATTCATACCAACAATGGGAAAAATGCTTAAATCACCAAAAGGGGAAAAAGACACAAAAAGGGACAGTATTTACCTGCCTTTTTTGCCACCTTATATATGCTTTCTTGTCAGAAAATTCTGTGCGTGAAATACAAGATAATAATTCCAGAGGAATCAGTAGTGTATCCATTCTTTTCCCAAATTTCCCTGAAAGAGCATTAAGCAATCCTTGTCTCGTCCTAATGTCCATTGCCTCAGAAATCTGTATCCATCAATATTGAAATGAAATAACAATCACATCAAAGAATCAGAGAATTATAAGCTACAAATAGTGTGACTTAATGTTACATGCACATTAGTATAAAAAAAATAATTGTGGAAGCATTTGTGTAATCCAATACGAGAACTACCAAGAAAAACAACTTGCATCTAGCACATATCAGAAACACCAACTTTGAGCACAAAGACTGTGCCATAAGAACTCATCTACTTAAAAAACTAGAATGGGAAGATTATTGAACAGATCTTATGCTGCTTATAGAATGCATGCTATTGAAGATTTATTAAGCTTATGTACTGAATATCTCAAATCAGACCCGTTGATCTCACTCCAATAGCAAACACAAAATCATGATCCTAGTCCTGTACTTTTGAAAGATTAAGTAGCCGCCCACATTCCATTGAATCTTGAAATATGAAAGGTCAAGGGCATAAAGGAGGAAAAGATAGGTGTTCTGCCTCAAAGCACATACAAAGGTTTAATAGGATCTAATGCTTTCAAGTAATTACCATGATTCTATTGCATGCCCCCTTCCCACCTTCCTCTTCCTTCAACCCCTTGAAAAATTCTTCCCCCACCATCCCAAAGAAAATTTTCAAACTTCTAAATAAATATTTTGGAGTAAAAGAACATTGGTGTTGAATGCCAGATGGATTTTCTCAACAGTGTAACCCGTTTAACACTAAAAGAGCAATGACACTAGAAAATAGATCACACCTGGCAGCGCAAGCTACTTGTTGCATGATAAGCCTCAGGTTAACTTTAGGCGTATTTCCCAAAAGCCCTGGGAGTACATACTGCTTTCAAGGCCAATACTGCATCCACCACCTCTACCATGGTTCATAAGATTGGAAGCACCTAAACAAGCAGAACAGTACTACACCACGAAGGGGAGCAGATATTACAGTGAAGGTCACAACTTTTTAGCATTGACTGCATAGATTGTGGTCTTTAAGTGTGAGGAAAAGCAAGCTATTACTCATCAGAATCCCTTATGGCCACATTTACCTTATGCCGACAAAAGAAATGGGTGAATTTTGAGAGGAACAACAAGATCACGCCTCAGACGTTTTATTGCTTAGGACTATATTCATAGCATTAACACATTGCATTTGCCCTTCTCTAGGCTCAGTAAGCCATAATTTCACAGCCTAAATATCCAATTTTGAGCCTATTCAGTAATGTCTTTCAAAATCTTTCCTTTAGTAACTTTTCATAAACAACAAAACAATGTCAATTGCTTCAATGATTTTTCAGAAATGATAAGATACTAGAATCTAAGATGGAGAAATTTGCATGTCCTTGGCTTGATCTGACCTATGAAAACCAACTATGTTTGACATACATCAGTTATACATTTGAATTAGCTTATGGCCGTCTTCACCTTTTTTTTTTTTTTCTAAGCGCCATGTTAACAATGGCCGTAATTTTTTAAGCAACAGCTAAAAGGCATTGAAGATGCTTTTCTATAGAGACACAGATATCACATCATGAGTTCTTCCAACTGTGGCTATTAAAGTGGATATCACGGTACTAAAGATGCTTGGAGATTCCCAATTCAACTCAAATAAGTTATAACCATAACTCTGCAAAGGTTGTCACTTCTACTACGGATCATTTTTGTGAAAATTTTGAAAATCAGGAAAATCAGAGTCTTATTAGGTCACTCGCCAACTGTTGTTTACATGGTATTCTACAAGAGTGAGTGGCATTTATACCAAAGGAACTAGGTTGTCACCCAATTGTGCTAGGCGAGCCATGAAATTTCTGATCCAAAGGGCTGCCTGAAAAAATGAGGATACAAATTTGGTCCAAAGATTTGTACTATTCAGAAATAGGCTAAAGAGTAAAATATACTGCAAGTCCGCAAAATATTTCCAAATCTCATTTAACTACCAAAGTATCTGTTTGGGAAATAAAGCCATTAAACTACCATAATTGTGCAATGGAGTGATTTAAATATATTATTCAATTAGAAATTGCCTCCATGGTAATAGATGCTACATTTTTCATGTAAGTTATTTATTAATTAGTTGAAACAATTACAGGTACTTAAAGAAAGTAAACTAATAAAAGTATAAAGGATGATAGCTGATTCTCATACCGCATTGAAAGTTCAATGGTAATTTCTAAATTAAAAGTTTCAAGGACTACATGAGAATTGATAGACTTAACGACCGAAAATGTACTTTACCTGCAAATGGATTTTTTTAACAATTTCCAAGTTGAGAAAGAACTTTAACCCTAGCATAGATTTGCAAAGCAAAGGTCAAAGAGGCAGGAAAAAAATATTCCACCTCAATATCTTTGACTTTCACTTTAGAAGAGAACACCTTTTATCCCAGGTAGATAATGCCTGCTTCATGAAACCCATAAATGAACAATACTCAGGTAAACCTTTAATAGAGGGTAACCAAAGCGTGAATTGTTAGGTTGATTGGCTTTGAACTCGTATATGTGTACTCCACCTACTTGGCCTGGTTTTCCTTTTCTTTTTTTTTTTTTTATTTGAACTTGTATACTTGAACTCCCCCTACTTGGCATGATTTTGTGTTCCCTATGCCATTGAAAGTATCTTGAGTAGTATGTATCCTTGTACATGTTCTAGATTCATTTATGACTTTTCTTGCAAGTAAGCAAGCGTGGACAAATGCTAGTTTTCTTAATTTCAAGCGTTATTCTAATTATATTTATGATCAAAGTAATCAATTTCTTATAACTGATCTCTCTACACTTTTATTTGTCAATACCATATATAAGAAAAGGATGGATGCAGGTACATGTGCATCTCTTATGAAAATGCAGAATCAAAGAGGAGATAAAACAACAGGATGATATGGAAATAAAACTATAAGTTCAAAATTTTACCATGATAGCACCTGCCTCATTTCCATGATGGAAAACAAATTGCATGGCCTTTACAATACCACTTCATAAACAAGTGCATGATGAGGTTTCTACATGAACTACTTCAGTTTAATTTTCACAAAGGCTAAGCATGATTCTTGGTTGTGGAAAAACTAAGAAATAAATCAGTGTGGAAACTGAATGTATATTGGAAAACTGCTTATTGAGAATTATACAAGAATCTTAGGTTTATATACAACTAACTAGGGGTTAAACTAGGAAACTAAATCTTTCTAAAAAACTAATCCTATAATTGAGGGATTGTCTATCCTAATACTTAATTCTAGAGATACAAATATAAATATACAAATTACAAGATTACAACCAGCTGTAAATAAGTGTTTTCCCACATTGGTATGTAATTTCTTCATTGTAATAGTCACTTCAAATTTTCATCACTTGCAGCTTTAAGGTAAAAAAAAGTTTACTGTTGTCACTAATTCTTCTTCTTTCAAATTGCTGTAGACATGATAACTTCATATTGAATCATAGAACTTTATTCGTGCATCTGTTTAATGACAGCTAAAGAACTCTGCAGAGGAGATACTAATGCAAAAGAAATACTGAAAAACGCATCCATATGAAATGAATCAAGTTTTTTAAATACCTCCATCTGGGTACGCATTGTTTCCAATAAACCAACCAGTCCTGGTACCTGTTGAGACTGCACCACAATATTCTCATTTCTACTTCGTCCAAGCTTCCTCATCAACTTGGAACGTTTTTCTTTTTTTTTCTCTTTTGCCGGTACAATGAGACCCCTGATTTATAGGCGAATGTTAAAGAAATTGAAAAATGAGAAAAATGTAAAAGAAAAAAAAAGTTGACAAAGTATTTAGGAATATGATAGCAACGAAAAGCCACTCTCATAAAAGAATATCTGCAAGTCAAAAGAAACAGGGAAACCTACCCAGAAGCACCAGCACAAGCTAAAAGAATTTCGTATGCCGTTTCACGGAGATCATCATCTGTTATACCTGAAATAACAAAATCCTCACAATTTATAGACTGCCATTGCATAATCATTAATGAAATAACTCGAAGGCAAACTGACACCAGATAAGAATGTCATCTTAATCATAATATTAGAAAACTTAACAACACTTCTCATTTAACATGGAATCCCCAACATTATAATCATCAAACTGTTGCCGCATATCAATATTTTAATTTCTGAAAGGAAGAGACATACATATGGATGCCCCAGCGAGTTGGCTGGGCCATGCATATTTTCTTAACCATCACTACCTGTAGCGAAAGAAGGCAACTTCAGCACAAGATCACCAATATCATTTGGATTCCGCCTTGAAATTTTGAGGCTATTAACTTCCTCAAGATCTTCATCATCTTCAAAATCTTCAATATCATCCACAGTTAATTCTTGAACTTGTGTGGAATCAAAAGACTCCGATCTTGATACAGTTGACACAACAGGAGATGGTGCAAAAGCAGGAGATGGTGGCGTCAGTATTGATATGGAAACAGGGACAGGTGGTGGCGCCCTTCTTGGAGGGGAACCTGAGAATTCAGGATTTGTAACCAAAAAGAATTCACCAGCAGAACCGCCACTATTCTGAAATAGAGAAGAGATTAAGATGTAAAAAGATGAGCAGCAAAAAGAAAACATAAATGCATATCCAGGATAAGAATGGAAAAGTTTTGAAACCAACCAACAATAGAGCTGACAATTTGCATTTAGATTTTATTCATATCCAACATCTTTATTTTTCAAAGAAACCTTTGTTCGTTTATTTACATTTTTCTAAGCAAAACTTGTCCGTTTTACATGGGTCACTCCTAATTGCATATGAATACGATTTCCCATTTTCTATTGAAATATTGACAACTGGAATAAACAAACAAACTAGTAGTGCAATCTATGCATGCCCTTGTGTCTGTCCAAACCTGTTTCAATTAACATCCAGCTAATATTCATTCTCTATTAAAATAAAATAATCCAATTTTTTGTTACTGAAAATTACTACATTCTTAGTTTTTATAATTCTTCTAAATATTACCTACTTTTGTTTCCAAACACGCATCTTTTTCTTTCTGCTTTGGAAAGCAAAAAATAAGTAACAAAAGCAACAACCAAACTATACCAAAAATAGTGCAAAATATATGATGCAGCAGACATAGATTATTACCATTTGGGGTAACCCCGTGTGATCATGGTAATCTCGAATTGCTTCAGAAAGCTCCAGCATTCCACCTGCACTAAACAAAATAATTACCATCAAAACGAAATCTCATATTACATTATAATAATCTAACAGAAACAGAAAGAAACTTTATTCCGAACCACCTTTCTTAATGCAACTTAGCACGTAATCCACGCTAACTTGATCCAAATCCACATCATCGAGCGTAAAAGCACCAGGAGGAATTACCACTTTCTTAATTAAGCTACCAGATAGTATAAAATCTAACAGTATTCGCCTGTCACGCCGGTAACGCTGTAAAAGCTCCACACCACTCTCCCTATTTTCCAACAAACGCACAAATTTTACAAATTCTATTTAAAAAAAAAAAAAGAAAAAAGAAAATTAACTTTCTTCTTCATAAAATGTGCTAAAATGTAAAACCAAAATCCGAATTGATTAACAATTAACAAACAATTAAACGTGGAAATACTACATTTAATACTACATTATGTTATGAATCAAAATTATGTGTCTTATTTCTTCGAGAAATTTCAAATTTAGCAAAAAAGAAAAAGATATTGCGATAGTATTTTAACATTATAATTAGAAAGTGAATAAGAAAAAGAGAACTTACTCTTCCATGGCTCTGGAACTAACACTCTCTCCAAAATCTGAGAACAAATGTAAAATTACATTTAATATAATCCGATAAAAAAAATTTGATTGCAAAGGTATTGGATCCTCTTATGCTTTAATAAAAGAGATGAAATTAAATCAAATTCAAAAATGAGGCAAAATTAAGATTAAATCGAGAAAAAAAAAAAACAACTTAGAGAAGAAAATTTATTACTTGACAATGAAAATTGAAGAAATTGAAGAGATCTGGAAGTCAATGAGAATGCTTTTGAGAGAAGTCCAAAAATGGAGAAAAATGAAGAAATGAATTGAATTTGAAATGGTCTGTTTGGGAGACTGTTATTCCTTAAAGAGCGAAGCAAATCTGAACGAAGCAATTTGCTCGCCTTTTCTCCAACGTAGGAGGGTGGCTAGTTAAAGATCGAAAATGACCTTGGAATTTTAATTAATTAAAGACTTCGACTTCTTTTATTGTTTTTTTTTTTTTTTTTGATAGTTAATGGCATTGATGTCTGTCCTCACTTGGGCAGCGCTGGCGAACTTGGGTCGAGGTTCAACTCTAAGTTGTCGACTCTCATGAATATTCCAATATAGGTACTTTTTTAATCCTTCATTATTATGCTAGTTTAAGTATGAGTAGTTTTAGTTTTTTTAGAATTTTTTATAACATCATGTATAGTTTTTGAATTATGGAAAAAATTTAACAATATAATACTATAATTTTTTTATCAAATTATCAAAATTTTATTTATACTCCATTTAATATTATATACACCTCAATTTTAAAACTTATTTTTTTATTTATACTAAGGGATGTTTTAAATACACCATTAAATTTTTTTCAAAAAATACATATATACCAAATACCAATTTTAACCTTTATTTAATAATAAAAATACTCTTAATAGTTTATACACTCAAAAATTATGTCGTATTTCTTAGAAATAAATTTTTAAGAGTTATATTATATTCTCATAAATTCGTTTTCAAGAAAGTAACATAATTTTTTAAAATAGATTACGAGAACAAAACACACCTCTTAAAATTTTATTTTCGAGAATTATATTGCTTTTCTCAAAAATGAATTTCTGAAAGTCATTTGTATTCTCAAAAATCCGATTATGAGAATACATAAAATTTTTTAAATATATATTTAATTATAAAATTTTTAATAACAAGAAAATCGATATCATTAATCTTTGGGCCATTAAAAAATATTATCAACAGATTGGCAAATCTGATAATAAAGACTGATGGTCAAAATATTAGATATTGTCAAATTTATCAATTCATTGATGACATTATTAGTAATAATATTTTATAAGGTGTTTAAGCTCAGACTAGTATACATGAACATACATAAATTATCGATGTGCCCATTCTTATTTGATCATATGTGCGAATGAAAGAGACCAAGTTCTCAAACATGCATGCAAAAAACCAATAACTCCATTTTGCCTATGCAAAACCAGAAACTAGAAAACAGTATTCTCGATTTTATGGAAGCTAAAAAAACTAACAAGTTTATGCCATGCATGTTAAGAACATCAATTTCAGTTTCATTCATAATCAAATAAATGAGTTCATAAGTGCATGATTAAAGTTTTTGATAAAAGTAAAATCGAGCTTCTCAAATATAAAGATTTGAGAAGCCTCATATCTTCTTGGATATCCATTTTTGAGAAGACTAAAGGCTTCTCGAAAATGGATATCCCAAAATATTTGAGTTTTCTTGAAAATAAATATCCAAGATGTTTTTAGGCCTCTTAGAAATGGATATTCGAGAATTCTTAAAGTTTCTCGAATATCCATTTTCGAGAAGTTTTAAAACTTCTCGGATATTCATTTCTAAGAAACTCAATTTCAAAAAGAAAAAAGAGAAGAAAAGAGAAATGGTAGGAATGAAGAATAAAAAACGATAGGTAGGATGTATTTAGTAAAAATAGGAAATTTAGTTTTGAATTTGAAGTATCTATAGAAGTGGGGTGTATATAGCTTTAAATAGGGTGTAAATAGAATTTTCCTTAAACTAAATACACCATACCTCTCACTTTCTATGTTTTATTCCTACCATTTCTCTCTTTTTTTCTCTTCACTTTCTAAAATCGAGCTTTTTGAAAATAAATATTCAAGAAACTTTGAGGCTCTTAAAAAATTATATCCAAGAAGCTTTAAAAATTCTCAGATATACATTTCTGAGAAGCTTTAAGGATTCTTGAATATTCATTTTCGAGAATACTTAAAGGTTATTAGATATTTACTTCCAAGAAGCTTTTGAGTCTTCTTGGAAATGAATATCCAATAAGAGTTGAGTCTTCTTAGATCTCTATTTTTTAGAAACTTGATTTCATTTTTAATCACTAAAAAACTTTAAATCATGCACTTTTGAATCTATTTACTTGATCATGTGTGCAAATGAAACTGAAGTCATTGTTCTCAACATGCATGGCATAAACTTGTTCTTTCTCTTGAACCTCTAGAAAATCGAGAACACCATTTTTTTATTTTTTGGCTTTCTAATTTTGCATGGGAAAAATGAAGTTCTTGGTTTTCTGGGCTCAAGACAAAAACATCTTTATGTCCATGCATGCTTGAAAACTAACATGTCTATTCCATTCCCACATATGATCAAGTAAGAATAGGCACATCAATGACTCATGTCTTTGCATACATGCTAGTTTAGAGATATTTGGCAGTCAGTAGACTGACAAATCCAATAATAAAGACCTCTAACCTTTTGGTCACCAGGATACTAGTGACTTAAAGATTAAATATCCTTATTGTCGAAATTAAGCACATCAAATTTATTTATTTTAATATTATTTATTTTAAGATTAAATGTATTTATTTTATTTAAATTAAAATTAAACATTATGAAGATTAAATGTATTTATTTATTTTAAGATTAATTATAATTTAAACAAAAATTTATGTTTTTTCAAAAATAGATTTTCGAGAATATAATATGACTATCAAAAATCCATTTTTAAGAATGCAACATTATTCTCAAAAATTCATTCTCGAGAATAATATTGCATTTTAGAAAATTAATATTGCATTCTCGAAAATGGATTTCTTAAAATTATATTGCGTTCTTGGAAATAAATTACTGAAAACACAATATAATTTTTGAAAATTCATTTTTGAGATTTACAAAAGTGATTTTTGGATGTATAAGTTATTGAAAGTATTTTTGTCATTTACTAAATGTTAAAATTGGTATTTTCTATGTGGGTATTTTTGAAAGAAAATTTTGGAGGTGTATAGAGATAATTTGATGGTGTATTTAAAACACCCTTTTTAATATGGTTAAAAAAATATTAATTAATAGCTAATCAATAAAAATTTAACACATGTTCAACTATTGTACATGTGAATTATATGAAATAGCAATGTGAAAAACAAATGTCATATTTAAAAAATAAAAAATTAAACATTTTTTTTTAGAAATTTCAAATATTTTTTTATAAAAATTAAATTTTGTTGTTTGAAAATTAAAAATAAAAATATACATAAAATAAATTTTATTTTTTAAAAATAAAAAGTCAAAATTTAAAAACATATATTTTTATATAATTTTAATTTTTCACATTTTTAAAAATTTATTACTTAAAATAAAATATTTTTTAAAAATAAAAAATAAAATTATTTTTTAAAATTTTATTTTTTCTTTTTTTCTCTCTCCCCTTCTTTCCCTTTTATACCTCTACTCTCCCCTACTTTAAGCAAAAACCACCCATTATCCAATCATATCAAGCCATCTTAAGGTAGGATTAAACATTAGTGGTAAAAAATTTTTTATTTTAGGTATTATTTAGACTTTTTCAATAATTTAAAGGATATATAAGATATTTTCTCTTTTTTGCAAAAGAGGTCACGTCTATTGGATTTAAACTCTATATCTTAAGCATATAAGTTCTTTTAAATCTTATTTGCATTGAATGATTAATCATTTTGCTCATCTTTTAGGTTCACTTGCATTTTAAACAAGTTAAACAATGTGTATCATTTGAAATTTCACTTACTTTTTTTACCTTAATGATACAGAATCAAACTTGACTATGACTACGAAATCAATGAGGCAACAATCAGCATATGCCATGTGAAAACTCTTATTCCTTTGAAGTGATATGCCATTTAAAAGTAGTATGATCAATTTAAAATTGTCATACCAAGAGAGGCCACTTGCTCAAATTCATTAAAAATCACCATTATCCTAAGGATTTTAAAGAAAAAGAATTTTATGAATGACTTGAGAAATTTTATTGATAAGAGTAAAACACTATGTATACATGTACAAGCTATGGTAAGGATGGTAACAATAATCTACCTAAAGATTACAATATATACAATTAAATAACATCTCTCTAAATCAAAATTTTGATTTGTTAGAATCTGTCCTAAGACCTAAATATTACAATATACACAATTAAATAATATCTCCTAAATCAAAGATTTGATTTGGTAGAATCCTTTTTGTTATGCTCCCTTAAGATGGAGTGCATGAAATAAACATCAGTCTTGTTATTTAAATCATGAAGATGTAGTAATGAGAGAAGCTTTGTTAGTGCATCGACTAATTGATCATAAGATGAGACATGAGAGACGTAAACTACCACTTTGAACCTTGTTACAAACGAAGTGGAAGTCAATGGTAATGTACTTCATGAAGAACTGAAATATTGGATTAGCACAAAGATAGTTAGCACCAACATTGTTGCAATATATAATGGGCATTATTGTAATGACAACATTAAGTTCATGCAAAAGAGATTGTATCCAAGCAATTTTTGAAGTGGTAGATGCGACTGCTCTATATTTGGCTTTGATGAAGGAGCAAGCAATAGTTTTCTATTTTTTTAAACTTCATAAGATAGCATTGGCACCAAGTAGGACAAGGAATGCATTGGTGAAAGTAAGATCATCAATATTTCCAATCCAATCAACATACGAAAAGGTAAACAGAGTTAACGGTGAGTTTCTTTTAAAGAATAAACCATAATAAATCATAGTACCATACAAGTATCACAAAAGCCATTTGATCGTTAACTAATGCTCAATTGTTGGTTAGTGCATGAATTGAGAGAGGCTGTTGACAACAAAAGCAACATCACGTCTCATAAGAGAGAAGTATTGCAATACGTTTGCTATAGATCTATAAGTATTAGCATTTGTGAAGGAGGTGCCATCATTTAAAATTAGTACTTGACTTGAAGACATTAATGAGATAATCGATTTAGCATTATTCAACTTTTACCCTTTTCAAAAGATCATTGATATATTTGTATTGGAAAAAAAATCATCAACAATGGGAGTAACCTCAACACTAAAAAAATAAGATAAAGGTCTAAGATCTTTAACATAAAATTGAGATGCTAACTTAGATATTAATTATTAAATGTGAT